TTCTTGTATGCATAAATAAATCTTGAAAAAAAATTTTGGAGCGGTAACAAGAGTCCATCAGGATCTCCTGAGTATTGTCCTCTGTGTTGGTTTGCTAACTACAAGTATGTAATTTCTATCATTTTCCAATGTCCTTCAGTCTAACTCACATGGTACTTGTTTTGTGTCCCAGCTTCTTATGTCACAGCTTGTTAAAGAACTTGATTAAATGTGTTGTGTTCACTCCCTTCCTTTTATCTGCTATCCGATTTATTTCTCCATGAAATTAAATCTGTCTGTTTGAGTGGTTTCTATATCTTTGAAATTTTCAGATCCTAAGTCTATTATTAATGATTTAGACTTTTTCACCTGACATGTGTTGATCTAAATGCCTTAATAAATGAAGCACAAGGACAGAAAGTGTGAGGAAGAAGTGTAAACCCAGGTGGATACTGAATGGAAGCACAGAAGTTCATCAATGATGTAAGCCGTCCCCTGGGATCAGGGATCAGTAGAGAAACAACTTCCCTATTAGCATCATGCCCAGAAGATGAACACCTCAAATTGACTGCCATTCACTGACTGGTTCCTGGAAATTGAGAAAAAAAAAAAAAGCAAAAAGTAACACAGAAATGCAAGAAGCTAGGGGGAAATGGTAATGAACTTATTAAAGAAGGCCACGAAGCCAAATACAAAGGTGCATTTAAGGATCAAGATCAACCACCCCAGACAGGAAAATGCAAGCCCCTCCCACCCTACCTGCTATATCCTCTTCCCCGCTGTACACTTGAGGCACTGTCAGGTGTGTGCTTGTCCCTAGTCTGAAAATATGCACACACATACCAGAGATCTGTGAGTGAATTGGAATTGCAGAGAAAACTTGACCGTTTCCAGCCCTCAAATATTAGGTTTTCTCCAACTTCATCCACCCAATTCCTAGGGCCCTTTTCACAAGTACTTTAATGCAGGAGCCTGGTAGTCTTCACCCTGCACGAAATTCACCCCTAGGAGTTGCTGGTCTCTAAGCTGGTGTTGGTCTGGCCCGTTTTTCAAACAATGAAATGAAAGGAACAGGGAGGCTGGAAGAAGTCCAGAATTTAAGGAGGGGTTGGGAGTAAGAATTGAACACAAGTTTTTTTTAATTATTGATTTTTCATTTCAGGTTGATTTAGCAAAAGACCAACTGCCTATCATAAAAGCTAGTGGGCACCTGCTTTATTCTACAGGGGCTGCCTTTTCACAGTGGAAATCGTGTGGCCTCTTGTGTGATTAGCCTTGTGCTGTGGTGTTGCCAACTGATTTCTCCAATTCTCTTTTCTCAGTGGCCTAGAATGTAGCTGATTAAATGGGCTGTGACTCACATAAGCTCCCGTGTCTTTTTTATTGACTGCTTTATGGAAATGCATCACACTCCAAGGGCCCCCATTGTTGTTGCTGTGCATAGCTGACTGAGGAGTCCTGTTTCGCACTGAGAGATGGAATCCTCCTCTGTCGTTTTTTATTGCAGTTGGGGATGGTTGGGACAAGGGTTTAAAGGAAATCTGGATGAGGAGAGAAAGATGTCTGAGAATTTCCTTTATCTTCATCTGCCATGAAAGTTGGGTGGCCATCACTTCTGGGTAACAACTTCTCTGTTGATTTTATCTTTATAGTCCCATATCCTTCAGCTAAGTGAATCTTTTCTTTATATGGGCTATTCTGAGAGATTTAGTTAAGTGTAGTGGTGGAGAGAGATTATGACACTAATGTAAATCTGTTTTGTGCTGATATAATGTGATATACCCTTAGATTTATCCAAGAGGGCCATTTATTCCCAATAAATCTAAATCATTTCTATTTTTTCATTAAGGTGGTGATATCTTTTCTCAGGTAATGGACAAAAAGCCTCTATTTTTTTAATTGTATACTTAAATATAAATGTTTTTTGCCTTAAAATAGCAGTTCATGCAATTGTTTGTGGCTTCTTCCTGTTTTCATTATCATCCTGCAAAGCTTTTACATACTTTCTATTTTGCACTAAGTGGTTCTGCAGATCTGTTCATTTGCCAGCAGGTGTAGATTCAGCTTACAGGACTCCTTCTGCCTCATTACCCCAGAACTAACATAGGGCATCGTCAGGACCACCGGTTCTTGGGCAGTGGGACCCTGAGCTGACACAGAGAAAGAGCTTGATTGTCACAATGCCCAACCTTGATTCTGGATTCTTCTAGCAGATCATGGAACTAATGAAATTGAGCTCAGAGTCAACTTTACTTTGAGAACAATTCTTGGTTTTGTAGTTACCATCCAGTTCCTTGTGCATAGAAAACAATCAATAGAATAGATTGATTTCATTAGATTTCCTTTTTTTTTTGTATAACCATTCCAAACTTCACCTGTAATCCCACTTTTCCATTGCCCTTAGAGGGGATTAGGCATCATGAGTATAGATTTCCTCTACCTAACATATCTTACCAAAACACAGAATATAAAATATTTTCTATTCTGTCATACTTCAGAATCTTGGTGAATGACCAACAAGAGAGAAAAATCAGCAACACATTCAGGGTCCAATTTTAGCAAGCCCTGTGACTCTTAAGGAGAGGTGGTGGGAAGGAACTGTCCCTTTGATCCTAGAATTAGTGACTTGGAGTTCAGACATCTCTGCTACATTATGTTTTTGTTTTCTTGGTGGTGGCATTCTTGGGTTTCCGTTTGTGGGGAGCGAAAAGCCTCATGCTGATAATGTACTGAAAGTAAATGAAATTAAATAAGCGAAGCAGTGCTCATCACTACTTCCTTCCCCCCTGGGTAATTCAATTCAAGCTCTCTCTCTGATGGCAACTCACAGGGACTGTCTCTGTCACCCCGCTGGGGCCTGGAGTCTTAACATCTAAATAAAAGTTTCACTCAAGCATTTTTTATGCTCCTGCCAGCAGGATCAGTGAGCTGGTGTGGGCACATTAATGTAATATTCATACGCACAGACTCTCCCTGCACACGAGGCAATGTCTTCCCATTTTCATAATTATAGATGTTCCATAAAATGGCATTTAGATTTGCATTAAAAAGGGAGGTTTGAATTCTAATAGAACGTTTAACATGTCTTTTATGATTCAGACTCTCGGCATCTTTAGCAGGAAGCTGTGTCTCTAAGTTTAACAAGACCTTTTGTAAAAGGGGAGGAAAAACAAAAACAAAAAACCTGTTGGGAAAAGTGATGGAAGCGCCTATCTTAAAGATCCTGTTTTTCTTAACCCCCATGCTTTCATTTAATTTTTAGACCTCTCACAGCACTATTTTGACAGCCTGCAGAGAGGATAGGCTCTCCTTCAAAAGGCCTCCCCTCCCAACCTGGGTGCTCGCCCAGCCAACCTGTCCTTATTAGCATCTGTTTCTGCTTCTTGGAGAGCATTTTCAGAGACATATTAGAATGTTCAAAAGGGTGGGAGCAATGAAAGGATACTAGACAAATGAACTTCCTTTGCTGCTGTTCCTCTCATGCCGGCACCCTAAGACCCATCGGAAGGATTACAGCAGCCACAGAGTTGACTAATTGCTAACTTTGTTTATAGTATGCACTAACACACAAGATGAAAATAGCCCATAAACAAGGGAGCTGACATTAAGGACAAGTAGGATAAGGACTCAGGCACTTAGACACACCTTAAAAAAGAAAAAGAGATCATTTTCCATCTACAGGTTTAAAACTTTGTTTGAAGAGCTCAGAAGCAAAAGATAATTTTTTATTTTATTTTTAAATGTTAAAATGCTATATTCAAACAAAAAGTCTGTAAAACACTGAGCAAAGCAGCAATCTCATAGTCACCACTGAGTAAATGTTAATTACAGATGTTCAAAACACAGTTGCATGATTAAAAAGAAGTTATTTCACCCAAAAACATGTGTATGACCCAGTTGCTTCATAGGTGGTTGTGCCTTAATTTGGTTTGGATTGTTTGTGCTCTAAATTTTTTAAGGCAAATCAAAAGAGATTTGGGTTTGGAGACAAAAAAGATGAAATATGATTCTGCTAGCTCACTTCATTTCTCCTAATTAAAAAACATGAAGTTGTATGTTTTCAATTTTTTGTTGTTGTTGTTATTGTGTTTTGTTATTTCCTTTCATTTTCTGAGGAGTAAATTCCTTCCTCTTTGTCCATTTCCACACCCTCTGTAAAATAAGTGTAAACTCCAGTGTTGGAAGATGAATTGAGATCTTGAATCCTCAATAAATTTGTACCTAATGAGACTGATTGAAAGTCAAGCATGTTAGAAGCATACGATTAAAGTCCAGGGTCTTCTCTTTGTAAAGCTTTCTGTCATTTCTTACTTACTTTCCCACATGTAAGTAACAAAACTTACTTTCCCACATGTAAGTAACAAAACCAGAATTCAACAGCAATTGCCAAGGGTTCATATTGCATAACCCTTCTTTGTATGAACCTAAAAAAATTTGTTACTAAGGTGACTTTGTGTTTGTTTAAAAAAAAATCAAAATCAACAAACAACTATGAACCAGAGACACACTTTGGGGAGGGGGGCGGGGAAAGGAAGTATTGGGGTCAAAATCAGGGGGTTGCAATTGTATGGGGACTAGAAAAAGAAAAAGAAAAAAAGTATATAGTTATTGCTCTCTCTGAGGTGACTGTGTTAACAGTAGACTGTATCACTCATTAAAGTTCGTCTGTAGTTATTCATATGATTTTTGATTACCTCAATGTGTTATCCAATTTGGAGTTTATATCCACAGCAAATTCTTGATTCTCTGGAGTCCTTTCTTGCCAGTCAGCATATGTTGTAGCCAGCCTCCTCTTATACAAAGTAACATATGTATAGATAATTTTAAGTGATCTTAGCATTATATACAATCAGGAAGAATGAAATTTTTTCTTTCCCCTTCATATAGATGTTGTTTTATTTTGTATTGTATTCAAGCTATTGCCTTCTGTATCTCTTTATTAAAGTAGATTATCTAAAGTAGCCTAAATTAATGAAAATTCTGCCCAGTTTCAGCAAAGGTGTTGCTGTTCTTCCTTCCAGGAATAGACGACATCACAAAAGGAGCTCAAGAACTTGACAACATCATCAAGCAAGGTTACTTGGAGAAGAAATGCAAAGGTACCAATCAGACCCATAGATCTCAGAACATTCCGGGAAAGGAAGGCAAATGAGGAAAAATAGAGCTAAAAACCAGTTTTCTTCTCAATGCCCAGTGCCTGCTAGAAAGGTGTGAGGCAGAAAGGAAAGCAAGAAGTCTTATGTTTGTGTACAGGCTGAAGAGACATGGCCCATAATTTTAAACAACCTTAGCATCATATAAAATTAAGGCTGTGATCTTCCTCAGGATGGATACTGGTTCAGCCCTGCTCACTTGGCACACAAGTGCTTAATAAACACTGCTAAATAAATGATTGGTGACTTTCTTATTTTGTGCTCCCACAAAACATAGTTTCACAAAAAGTGAAATTATGTTACCAAAATGTAATTGTCTTATATCATAATGGGAGCAGTCCACTTTCAAGTTTCAGAGGAGCCCACATCTTGACCTATCACTCATTTGATTAGAACAGATAGTCTGAGGTTTAACAACAGGCAAATTGGCTCAGCAGAAAGACATTCTCATGCCCAGGACATCATTTCGATTTGCTAAAAGGCAACGCAGAAAGATATCATGGAGAATTTTTAACGTACGGGATGAAATTAGAACCTGAAAGATGTCAAGAAAGAGAGATAACTGTGAGGGGACAGAGCCCCAAGCCCAGTTAGATCCTGGCCTTTAACTGAGCGAGTCCTCCAGACTGAGTCAATGCCAGCTAACCTGTGGGAGTGAAAGGGAGGGCTTCACAGTCCATTAACCTGGGAGGTAAAACAATACCACACTGGACTGTGTGTTGGATTTTACGGAGTCATCGGTGATTGTAGTTACCTGAATTTATGTCCCTTGCTGCTGTTCCGTTTAGATCATAGTTTCTTTGGATCGGAGTGGCAGAAGCGGTGGTGTGTTGTCAGCAGAGGTCTCTTCTACTACTATGCTAATGAGAAAAGTAAGTGTTCTTCATGTGCACAGCAGCATCTCACTCCTGGATGCAAGCACTTTGTAAATTCTCAAGCACTTAGATCTCAAGATAGCAGTCCTTAACTAACACCCACAATGGGAAATGCTTAGGAGAGAAACAGACTCAGGTAAAGAATAACTTGCCCATCACCAAAAACTCAGGCGCCGATTGAGTAATTATTTGCCCTATAAACACTGCTCAGTGTTTCAATAGGTTTTCTCTTATTATGATCAATAACATAACATCAAGGTTCAATACTTTGGCATTCTTATTTTTAAAAAAACCTCAAACTCTTTGCAGATATTAATAATATGGTTAAAATATTGAAAGCAAGTTATTCTGAGAAAGATTTAAACAGCTTACCAGTGGAAGCGAGTCCAAGCTTCTTAAGAGCATGCTCCCCATTTTTTCCTACTGGCTACTGGGAAGTGGTTCAGTGGACCTCCCTGGAGCCACAGAGCACTGACACCAAAATGTTGCCAAGCCCAAGAGACACCCTTCAGCCTGATGGCGGCAGCAGGGAAGTGTTGACTCAGACCAGAGACAGCTTCCTCATGAGCCACCACTGGCTCCGTCAAGATCAGCACTCATGGGCTATCCCTGGAAGACCCCATCTGTGCTTAACATGGTTGCTCAGTTTGTGAGGAGTTTGTGAGTAGAGGATAGAAGCACCAACTGGAGGCAGCCACAAATAAATACAACTCAGATCATTACGCAGGTGAACGCAAACTTCCCACCAGGGGATTGCCTTCTTCAGAGTTGGGCTTCCTTGGAGTAATTCCAGAGTCACTGGGAGACAAAGTAAAGCGCCAGTTCTTGCAGGGACTTCCCTTGTACTTCCCTTCTCTTACAGAGACCAGTTGATTCTTCTCTTCCTTTCCCACCACTTGTCTCTCCTCTTCCTCCTGTCCCAAACTTATTCCTCTCCCAATGCCCAGGTAACCAGCCTAAGGAGTAATCAGATATCCTCCCAGTTGCCTTTAGACTGCACCTTTGGCACTAAGGTAGCAGAAAGAACTGTAGTTTTGCCTAAAGACTTGGAATCCTTAAGATTTGCCCTTGAACTTGAAGGCGATTGCCTTACACTGTCTCTTGTGCCCGTAACAGGAATCACTGATCATTTGGGTTCACCATCTTGGATTCCTCAGAGCCTTTCCCATCTAGGGGTAAAATGGGAAGCCCTACTTGGATGGGATAGTAGCATAGCATAGTAACAAGTCCCCTGATCCTCCCGCACCCCCCCCCACACTCAAATTCAGCAGCCCCAGCACCATCACCATCACCACCACCCCGGAATTCTAGGCTTATAAGCCAGCTGGGTGTTTATTTTCTACTTTAAAACTTCAAACTAACATGACATTTGTCGTTGTAAAAATGTTCATCGTTTCCCTTGCATTTAAATAAGTGGTTGGCTTATCAGGATATAAAACCAGCTGCCACATTCATTCATCCAGAACCCTTTACACTCAAGGTGAGAGGGGGGGAGCGCAAGAGCTAAAGACTTGGATACTTTTATTGACCATTTTGCCGTCAGGGTGAAATAAAATCTGGTGACCGAAGAAACAACAAAACATTTTAGTGGCCAGTTAGAACAAGGAGAGATACTTTAACAAAAAAGATTCTGGTGTCAAAAAGCACTGTTGCATGGCTCCCTTCCCACCAGTTATTTCTTATTGTGCCCAAGACATTTTCTTAGTAAGTGAAGAGTGTTTCTGTATTTCTTTTAGCTCAACCAGGTGAGGACAGAGTCTTTTCCTTTTCCCTTGATATTGTCAACCCACTGCCATTCTTTCCATCGTCAGCATCAAAAGGCATTTATTGAATAATTCATTCTGCAAGGTACGGGACCCTGAATCCTGAACCACACCATGGGGACACAAATCCTCAGGACTCCCTCCTCTTTTCCTGTTTCTGATATTTTGTTTTTCAAATAGGAATTAGGAGGCAGAGGAGTCGCTCCCTTCACCCATGTAGTGTCCTTCGTTTTGTGTCTCCTTCCTGGTCATCTAATGACACTCAACTGTACTCAGCAATGTCCCAATTTGACCTCCTAGAGGGGGATAAAATACTGAATAGCTGGAGTTTTTTATATTCTTTTTTACTGAGGTAACATCGATTTCAACACTATGATTCAGAGGTATAGATTCACTTCCCTCCAGATGTATGTTACCACCCCACACCCACCACCAAGGCACCCACAGTCCTCTGCCATAGTGTACTTTGCTCCCCACCCCACTCTGGTAGCCTCAATTCTGCAGTCATTTCTAGGGTTTATTTGGTTTTGGATTTGTCTGTGCCTGAGTTTTAATTATCCTCCCTGTAGCATAAATCCCCACCTTATCAGCTGGGGCGGGAAGGCAGGTCTAGCCCAAATGCTACACAGGGCATGGGAGGAGATCCCGGGAACTTATAAGGCCCCCCCTGCGCTGCTGTCCCTCCCCTCAAATGTGAGCTCTGCTGGCCCTGATAATAATGTTTCAGCTCTGTAATAGCCTTCAAGAGCCTCACGTTCAGAGCCACACTCTCCCTGCTGTAATAATTCCTTCTTTCTGTTATTATAGATCTCTTAACATTCTAATAAATTCTCTGTCTCTGATGTACTCTTTTGGCAAAATAACCTTTCATGTTGCATTTCCCTAGCTTGGCAGTGATAGCTGCCTCGCTGTCACAGTAGCCTCTTCTTAAGCTTCCCTAATAACCTTTCCTTGACTGTTGTGGTTCCTCAGGGATGTAACAGCTGTTTCTGTGCTTTTATTTTACATACCAGAGAAGATGCCTTCCCTTGGCAGTTGCATCTCTCTAGGGATACAGGGAGCTTTCCTGTCTTGCAGGCAAGCAGCCCAAAGGGACCTTTGTCATTAAGGGCTACAATGTACGGATGGCCCCCCACCTGCGAAGAGATTCCAAGAAAGAATCCTGCTTTGAACTGACCTCTCAGGATAGGCGCAGCTATGAGGTAGGATGAACCGAGAGGTGGTGAGCCTCATTAGCACTGGCTTTTCATCCCACGTTGCATGTGAGCTGTGGTTGCTGTGCTGGCTTCCGTCCTGTCTTTGTTACCTGTTCATTTCTTACTAAGACCTTCTTTCTTGACATGCCTTCAACTGTGCTATGCCACCCCCTCCCTCCCCCTCTCTGTTGCCACTCTCATCCCAGGCACTGCCTTTGCTTGGCTTCATTCATCCCCTTATCTGTCTCACTCCATAGGTGAGCCTTGTCTGTTGCAGCACACAATCTCATTATTTATTCTGTCTCTAATTTCATGGCTTTGCTTCCCATTCTCTTTACTTGTCAACTGATTATCTTCATTTCCTTCCATGAAATCCAGAAAAAGAAAAATCTGGCTACAGACTAAAAAATAATTTATTTTCCCATACTCATCTTGCTATCTAAAATAATCTTCCTGTGTGTGAAGGCATTGCATATCTCTAGGAGGATTTCTAAGATATTGCTGACAGTGATTACTGAGCATGAACAGTCATAACTGAGAGTCTAGAGAATCTGGGTGGGAGTAAGAAAGACTTATCCTCCATTATGTTCATTTTTATATATTTTCATATAATCTGATATGTAATATATTTATTACTCTTATAAAATCAATTAGAACAATAAAAAATTTCTGACCATAAAAATACAGTGATTTTCAGCAAAAATAATCCTTACATTTGGTATATTGGTCCCTGCTTATTTTTATCTTACTACGATTTTACTAAAACAATTTAGAAAACTTTGGCTAACTTACAAAGAGAAAAATCTGCTAAGGTTAATGTTAGCCATGTGAATAACCCTTTGTTCAACTCTTTCTCAGCATTCATTCCTTTGTGTTTGTACAGTATCTTAAACTTTATTTTGATAAAATAACCTAGGTCTTCATTATGCAATTTCAAAAATTATTTTTAATTTGAAGTAAACTTTCCCAGAGATTCCTTTAAAGATGTGACTAATGTACACACTGGGCATGTTACTAAGTTTTTTTTATTATTCAGATCTGATGGTTTCTCATCCAGATAAAAATTTATATGACAAGTCTAAATCAATTTCCCTAGACATTTCTTATAGAAATGTGCTTTTAAGAAACCAGAAATGACAATGTCGATTAATAAGTATTAAGCAGGAATCCAGGTTTCTTATACAGCACACATCTTTATCTTACCCTAATGGCCAGATAATAAAAATGTTTTTCAGGAACAGTCATTTCAAGTTGATTCATTTAAAATAAAAAATTGCTAAGACTTGATGCTTCACTGGCCTGTTTTGTGAATCAGAATGTAGAGTTTGTTTACTTCTTCTTTTCTTTGGCCCATTGAATTCAAGTCATTACCATGGTCTATGGATTCTTCCTCTACATCCTTTGGATCTTTCCCTTCGTATTTATTCCCACAGCCTTCACAATAGTTAAGTCCCTATCACTTTACCCAGAGGACTAGTTAAATCGCCTCCTAGTTGGTCTTCTGTCTCCAATTTTCCCCTATTCCAGTCCCTCCTATTCACAACTACTGAAAGAATCCCCCACTCCTGTGGCTAAAATTCACAGTGACCTGCCACCGCCTGCATGTCAAACCTGAGCTCTAGTGCCCAGGGCCCTCTCACCATCTCTTCTCTGACCCTCAGCTCCCTAGTGTCACCTGTTACTGTTCTCCAATCAAGCCGATCTCTTCCCCTCCCCATCACTGGCGTTTCTAATCTGTTGCAGCTGGTTTTCCCTATCTGAAATGTCCAACCTCTTTCCACCAGGCACTTTCTACCATTTTTAAAACCGAGAAGAGTATACTTCAACAGCCTCCCCTGGCTCACTCTAGGCACCAGTATATGCTCACGTTGCCTCTTGCTACTGGCAAGTGGGCCTACTCTGTGGTGCTCCCACTTCAAGGGTGTTTGCTGTCTCCATAACTGAGGCATTTGTTCTTTGAATTAGAAATGTTGGTTTGCTTTTTCTTCCCCTCTAAGCTTTTCTTAAATAAATGCCTGATGGATGAATGGGTAATCAAATGAATGCATGCATATGGACATAAATGTCTGGTCTCCATAGCTGTCAACATTGGGTGGGCAAAATTGCTGAAAAAAGAAGTCACTTTGAGTGAGATTTTGACCTTTTTTCTAGTATTAAAGAGGCAAAGAATCCTGAGCTTTCAACTTGACTCTGAAACTTGACTCACAAGTTTCCTCCCTTTAATATTCCTATAGGATTCATGGAAATTTTAGTGAAAGTGATACATTAATTTACTAATTCTTCTCTAGTTTACAGCTACTAATCCAGCTGAAGCCAGAGACTGGGTAGACCAAATAAGTTTCTTGTTAAAGGGTAAGTACCATGATTACAGAAGCAATACGTGAGTGGATTTGAAGTTGAAGGTTGATGTTCTCTTGCATAATATATAATCCACAGGTTTCAATATGTTTTTTTCCTGCCTGGTCTCTCTTCCACCTTCCCTATCACATCCCTCATATTATGACAACAAATAGTATCACGTATGAATTAGAAGATAAAGAAACAGTCAGCCTGGGGATTATACCACTGTAACTCTCTTGCCTCCCTGCAGCCAAGTGGAGTATTGTAATCACCAGAAAAGGAAATTCTGAAAACTAGCTCAGCTCAGCTCAACTCACTGTCTCCTAACCCCTAATATTTTTGAAAGGAAATGTATGATATTAAGCTTGAAGTTATCTTGATGCAATTTAGGTCTCCAAAATCATCTTATTTTAGTCTTAGTAGGAAGTAGAAATCTAAACTCAGATTGACAACCCTCAAGAACCCTGGTCATTAAGAGCAACCCTGGACATTAATATTGTGTCTCAAGACACAATAAAATGCTCCTTGCTTTGGATGGGGAGAGCCCTGCCTGAGGATGCTAAATGACTGCTCTTAGAGTACCCTCTGCTGGCCAGCCTGCAGGTGACAGTGGCCAGGGAAGCCTTGTCTGGGAGTGGCCTGGCAGGTAGGAGTAGCCAACCTTGAGTCTGCCTCAGGGCACCAAGTAACCCTCATATAGCACGGTGGCAGAACCCTGCCTCCACCCAAAGTCAGAAACACCAATTGTTCATGGTGCAAGACCTGAAGCACGTCAACCTAAAACACCAAGTCTTTTCATCTCATTTTTTTATTCTAGGATGAGATTTTATTGTGGATAAAAAGGAGGAAGCACCAGAGCTTTAATTACAAGAATGCCTGTTTTACTCAGTTTATGTCTTTGCTATCACGAAAACAAACTATTGCATCTACCAAGAGCATCACGTATAATAGACTGGAACTAGGCAAACATGAACATTGATGGCGAGACTACAGGGTACACTCTCATCTAGGTGCCTTGGATTTATGCGTGTAATATACCCCTAAGTGTGTAAACCTCAATAAAACTCAAAGCAGCTTTATTGAGCTGTACCCTGTGGTACTTTCAGAATCCCACATTGAAGAAATTATTCATTCCATTTTATTTTAAAACAAACGAAATAATAGCATATGGTCTAAGCCACAAATGTGTCTTTGATCCCTTCCTCATATGAGGTGGCACCAGAATTCAGATGAAAATTGTTACAGAATCTTTATTAAAAGCCTAATCAAGCCAAACAGTTTTATTGTGTTTTGAAATGAACATCCGATGTCTCGTCATCCTCTCCTTCCCCCAGAGGACGTTGGCTGCGCTCGCCCATCCTGCAGAGGCCCCGCAGCAGAGTTTCAGAGAGCACTCTGTACTGCTCGTCAGAGAATGAACCTTCCCAGTCCCCCATTAAAAGAAAAAACCAATCTCCCTCTCCCTCCCCGTGCTCCCCAGTGCGGTAATGGCTTGACAACCTCTATGCAGTGACCCACTTTAAGGTCAGCCAAACTATACAGTTGCAAAAGAACATGGTGACCACATGGCTTAGCCCCTCCATCTGGTCTTGCATTACTGTTATATGTTTCCCTATCCTACTTTCTCTTCCTCTTCCTTTTTACCCACTTTTCCCTTTACATACAAACTTGTCCGAAACTCCACAGAGAAATCTTGGGGAGATCAGCTTCTGAGAGGTCCACTATCCTACAGCAGCCAGCCACCATGGTCCCCCAGCCCCGTGCGGGCTCAGAGCTAAGGCCATCACTCACCCTTCCAGTTTTCTACCTGGCGAGCAGTGCGTGGCATGCTGGCATTTCCCCTTTTGGCTTATTTTCTTCCCTTCACCTCATGTGCTCCTTTTCACACCCATACTTTTCAGGGCTGCTTCATCCTGATCAAGTTTTATTGCAAGGAAGGATTTATGTTGATGGTTTAAACCTGACGCAGTGCTAGTCTGGCCTTTTCTGTAGATTTCCTGCCACCAAGGCCCACATTAGAAATAACAGCACTTAACCTAGTGTTTCGTTTTCTTTTGACATGTTTTATTCTCATCCCTCCTCCTCCTTCTCCCTCTTTACCTCCCTGGCTTATTCTTTTCCTTTCCTCCCTATCTTGACTCAGTCTCATCTTTGCCCTGGCAGATCTGAGTTCCTTCACCATTCCATATGAAGAGGAGGGAGAGGAGGGAGAGGAAGAGGAAGAGACATATGATGATATTGATGGTTTGGACTCCCCAAATTCTGGTTCCCAATGCAGACCCATTATCATGCCTGGGAGTATGGGGCCAAAAGAACCCACAGAGGAAAAAGAAGATGATATTTATGAAGTCTTACCAGGTGAGAAATTTTATCTTCTAACTTCTAACTATCTTTCTGCAGTTTTAGAAATTCTTGACCTGGTGGAAGAATATAACTTTGGAAACTCCAGAAGAAACCAACTCTCTAAAGGAGAGAGCGGGGGAAAGTTTCAGTGGTTTCAGTGGAGCTCCTGTGACCCCCCACTCCAGAAGCTCTCCTCTTCTCTGGGAGCAAAATGAATTGACCAGGGAGTCTTTCATCTGTGCCGTGTGAAGGAATCTATTACATATGTCAACATGTTGATTGTCACTGGTTGAATGTGAGTTTTGGGGTCATCCAAACTCTCTAAGTTTCAACTTTACTGTCTAAAAATTATGAGAATAATGGAAAGTTACCACAAACTTGTGGACATCAAAAGTCTAAAGGAATATGGATAAGTGCAGATGAGCTTTTTCAGTAACCCAGTAAAACCCTGATAGAGCACAACTCATCATTACCTAGTTCAGGTGTGCCACCAGTCAGATCGCATCTCTTAAAGATAAGCTGAGCCAGACTCCTCTACCCACCATGACAGCAGGTCTGCTGTGCAGATTTCTTTCTTTCTAAAGGCATAATTACTGGCTTCTCAAAAAATCAAAACAAAACACCAAAGCCATATCATCCTTACTGCTTGTGCATAGCCTTGTCGTGTGGGGATAACAGCAGCTGCTGAAACAGTGCAGAGCACAGTGGGGGTCAGGCTGTGGAAAATCGGAGCCGGAGCCTTTTAATTGTGAGGTAGTTAGACCACAGGAATGCTGAATCTTCAAGTCCATTCAGAAAGATCGCTCCTGTGGAAATTTGCCAGGAGTTCAGTGCTCTGCTGAGAAATTCAAGTTAAGCCTAAATTTATAGCAATTTAAACCTCAATCCCAGATGAACCCAGGAACTAAGGTGAATCTAACGCTCGGGCCCCTGAAGACAGGGCTGGTTGCTAAAAGCGTCATCAGTAGGCAACTTGCATTTTAAGGCTTCTGAGAAGGCCTAACCCTGTCAAGGCTATAATCACCTGCTCCCTGGGGGAGAAGCCACGTCACTGCTTCCTGAGTGAAGGAGCGGCCTGCGGCCACACATCTCCTTGCTGGAACTTCACCCATCCACCTCAGAGAGCCTTCTCCAGCACTCCCAGCCTCTGCGAGTCCTGACTTCTCCAGCCTTTTTGTTGTGTTTTATTATGCAAATGATATCTTGGTTGAGGTCGAGCCATTTCTTGTGTCTGAAGTTAAAAAAAAAATGATAATTTCCTCAGCAAGTCATCGTCGTTAATGAAGTTTTACAAAAACAGATACAACCAAAGGAAAATAAAATTTCACAGGTGATAAATTTTTCCAATTTCCCTGGCAGAATTCGATAGGATTGTTAAATTAAGAGTGAAGGTGTCTGTTAGAAAGCAACGAGCAGTGATGGGTAATTTTATAGAGTGGAAAATTGAATCAAATTGCTACATTAAAACACAGCTCCTCTGAGAATCTTCCCTTTCACAGTCTGCTCCATTGCAACAGCAGGGTGCAGAAATGGATCTAATTCACAACACTCCCTAAAAGGAGATACACTCCCCAACTTGGCCAGAATCTTCCTAGTGAGGTCACATTCCTCTCACTCCTGCCCAGGCATGGGGAAATATCCTAGTGATGCTCCACTTTGTGTTACACCTGTGGAAGAGTGCCCTGGGAAAACCCCACTGAAGCACTTAGCCTTCTGGAGAGCAAAGAAGGATCTTTTCATCCATCATGCTTAGTTCTCAATGGAGCAAGGGAGGAGGGGACTGATGCTCAGCATCCAAGAGTAAAGGAGAATAAAGGGAAAGGGGCCTTGGAAAACGAGTTTGGGCCCACCTCCTTCGCCCAGGTGGGTCAATGTGTGTCTGGTGACTTCTCAACAACCATCCTTCCTCTGCCTCTTAAATTCCTGCCTTTGACCCTTGTGGCACTGCCCAGGATATGAGGGCTTTCCTCTAAAATTCATGCCAGTTTAAATGTTGGATTGAACTCCAAAGTCATGGAGACTGGTCTGCTTTCTCAAAGAAAGATTCAGCCTACGCTCACAGCAGCTGCCCCTTGGAAGTGAGGAAGTCTGCATAGTAGAACTAGGGTCTCTCTGCAGGTTAGGGAACCGGCAGCTATCTGGCCTAAAAGTTTCCAAAGGACAATGCAATATCCAGCCAACAAGTTCCTTCCCATAAGCCTCTATCCATCTCAGTTGTTAGAGACAATGTGGGAAATACTGGCATTTAATTACTATATGAATATCTGTACAAGTCGCCGTCACCCAGCTCCCCATCCACTCAGAGCACTCAGCACAGAGTGCCCTGGCATATGGTACTAAACGCTCAACAAATGCTGATTATTATTAATTTGGTGGTATTTAAATAGGAAGTGTCATCTCCTCGAAGAATGGGGAGTTGGTAACTAGTTCCCCTCCTCTACCAACGAGACCTGAGATAGTCCAGTTGGACATTTTCATGTATAAGTATAAAGCAGGTGATGTTGAAAATCCTGAGCAGATGGACTGTGGGGCACACCTGCTGCCCAGGCCCATTTTTACCACAAGGACAGGTGCTAGGTAGAGGGAGAGCCAACAGCAACACTGGATTGTGCTAACATTGTATACCCATCAATAGTCAAGTGGACGTGGGACTCTAACATTTGTCTCATTTTTGTGAAGAATATTTACCATTGATGGTTCTGCCAATCCTTCTTCTTTGGGGTAGGTCCTACACACGCCTGACTGTCCCTATGGGACTGGTCACATAAGTGATATCTCCCTTCCAGAATATCATTCCATGGGCTTCCTAGTAGAGAGAAAAGTGCCTGTAACACATACCAAGTCAATACAAAAATGTTTTTTCCTAATCAAAATAATGTATAGATCATCAAATTAAATGCACTCCATGACATTAATCATGGGATAATTAGCATTTGCTACGTGGCTTGCTGGCTTCTTCCCATGAGGAAAAACCAGAGCACTCGAGGTTTTCAGCCAAGACCACAAAAATGCTAGTCCTGGATAATACGGTTTCAAGATTGGTATCCGGTGGGATTTCTGAATATCTGTGTTCAGGGCATATGGGGGCCTTTGATTTTTAAGATCTCATTTGTAGTAGATTAAACTGCAGGAAACTACCACAAAGAAATGCCAAAGCAATATGTGGAAATGAGAGACTTTTCTGAGCCCTCTCTCACCCCTCCCTGAAATTACTTTACAGGCTAACATAGGCCCAGTTTCGTGATTCAAGGTTCCATAAAAGGACAACTTTTATCAGGTTTCTCTGCATCTGGGCCTAAGGCTGGCATCCAGCAAGGTGCCTGAGGCCACTGAAGAGCTGTGACTGGGCCCTTGCAGCGGCCTCGATAGCAAAGGAACCCTGTGATCTCTCTAGAGAGACTTGAGGAGAAAGAACAGGAAGAGGGACAGAAAGGCCTCCCTGGGAATTTTTCTTCACAGTCTGAGGCTGCCCGCACTGCCCTGGAGGATTATTATAGACCGGAAACCAGATTGCCTTATAATAAAACATATAGCTGACTTTTTTTTTTAATTTGAGTCAAATGGAAATAAACAGTCTGTGGAATTAGTTTCCCCCTGTACAGTTGTCCAGACCCACAGGATGGTGGGATGGGGAGGCAGGAGGTTACAGGGGAAATAGTAGTAGGAGATCTAAGGTGGAAAAAAAAGCAAACACCAAAAAATACAAAGTTTATGAAGAAAGCAAATTCCAATTTCATAGAAAAGCAACACTCTAAGGAGGGATCATTATAGAAGCCTGGACACCATCATTAGACCCCCACTTTCCTCCTGCTCACCCCCGCTCACACTGGGGCCCTGGCCACATGGCTGTTTGGGGGGGCACCCCCCCAAACTGTTTGGCCAGCACCCAAGCTAGAATCAGACCATTTCTTCTACCTAGAACATTCCTGCTTTCCCCCCACCTCAGCCAATGAAGCCTCGCTCAAATAGTCTCCTCAATAACACCCTCCCAGATACTCAGTTAGAATTGAACTCTTCCTGCCTTTACCACAATGATTTATTCTCAGGCCTTTCTCCCTCATTTAGTAGGTAGGTACTCAGTTATTATTTGTGAAATTAAACTCTGTACTTTCCAGGTGATGCAGTTAGCACTAAGCGAGTTTAATACCTTGCCCATCGAGACCACACTACAGAGATAGGATGCAAATACCTTGAGGTAACGTGGAGATTGCCAAATGCACAAGAGAGAATTAAATGTGTTGCTTAGCATCTTGCTCATATTTTGCATGTGGTCTGAAGAGGCGCCATGCACCCACAGACACATAACCCACTGGGGTGCTATGGGGTGGTTTCTGTTTGCACTTGGAGTCTGTCTGTATTTCTCTGTCACCAGAGCCCCTTCACATCTGGTTGCACGTTGATTCATTTGGCATTTTTTAACCTTCTGTCACTTTGCTTTGTTTGGGGTAAATGGGTTCTCTCTTTCCAATCTAGTCATGTTTTCTCCGCGTTGGTTTAGCTGATACCAGAGAAGCACTCCAGCAAGGAGCCAGGTGCCAGGAGGAGCTGCTGCTCTCTGCCTCCGAGGTGGAGTCAGTGTCCTGTTCCTTCCAGCCTCTCATTAGTGTCCCTGACATTGTGCCAAGAGTGTTGATTGAAATCAAATCTCTGGATACTGATGCTCATTTGTGATGCCCCATGGTTCTCTCACATGTTCGCACAGCTAACAGAATCCTCCTCAACTGTTTTCCCAATTGAGATGAGATATTTGGGGATCAAGTAGAGCATTTAATGTAATAAGTGGACAGTAATCTTTAGAGGTTAATTTGCTTAAAACCTATGTACGGTTGGGGTCCCACATGCCCTGTAGGAGCAAGAACCATTATAATCTATTACTGTTTAAAGTTGAGCTAGCACATACATTTTAATTCTCTCCTAAATGAAGATGTATTTCATTGTAATGCTAAATGTGATACTAAAATCCCTGATAATTTTCTTATAAAGAAAATTTAACAACCTCTTTAACCCAAAAAAAATTTTTTTTCAAATTAATCTCTTTAAGATGAAAGCCTCACCTTACAGATGAATAAAAATGAGAAATTTGGCAGTTTAGCCCATCCTCTTTTTGTGAACAAAGACTTTTTTTCTGTTGCCGTCATCCGTTTTCTTGACTTTGGCGTGTGAGAGATACCAATCTGATTTCCTTAAAGGCTCCAAGATAAATTGTATGCCCCTCTGTGCGCTGTGCCCTCTGAAGCTGGGAGATGTGCTTTTCACCACCAGCTGTGGAAGACACTTTCCTTCACTATGTGATGCCCACCCCCCCCCATACTCACCCATTCAAAGACCCCAGGGGTACAGCACCCAGTCTTTCACCTCAATTGGCGTCTTTGCTTGCGCCCACTCTCAGCCACCGAGGACAATGTTAGATAGAACAGATGTGGGAAGTGGAGCTTCCCCGTTCACATATATCACTGGAGAGCTTGGTAATAGTGGTGAATGATATACAAGATGTGTGGCCATGTTCAGCTTTCTTTCTAGGTGACTCCACAGGCACAATGGAAAAATCAGAGTATCTGATCTGGAATTGAACTACATAGAACAGATTTTTTTTCCTTCCATTTTTGTATCATGACTAGATTAAGTGCTTTTGTCTGAAAGGATAAAGGAATCAAGTTTTAGTTTTCATTTTTATCATTGCAAATACATTTACATTCTTCTATTTTACAAATGCAAAGAGCAGGCAAGCCACTTTCAATAATTTATTTTAAAATCAATGCTAATGAGGTTATGTCTCGTCAGTGGCCAAGTTTTACAATAAAGTCTGATTTATTTAGAAAAGATCTTTGGTGTAGCTTCCCATCTAATGGTGGTGGGAAGGGGGTGGAGTAGCAGGCACAGTGACCCTCCAACTTCGGATCCAATTTGTAATTCACAGCGGAGATCTGACCCAATTTACATTGATTAGAATTGGGAGGAAGAGACATCTGCACACAGACAGCAGAGGTAGAATAAACCCTCTCTGCAAAAGTGTCTCAGCACAGCAAATTATTGGCCTTTGTGATGGAGTTGTTTGATATCAGCAAAAGAGCCATTCTCTGTCCAAATTATTAGCTATCACTAAATCCAAGGACACACAAACTCTTGATGTGTTCAATCCCATGAAGTTAGTCCCACATCAAAAAGGAAAAAACATCACAGCAACGGAAGGAAGTGGGCAAGTGTTAGGAAGATGGTGTGCAAAAGATGATGCTTAATGTGATTTATTTCAGTGTGATCTATTTCCGATATTTTGTGTCACTCCGCCATTACTCATATTTTTATTCCTGATGATGGTGTCAGGGGAGCACTACAGGTGGTGAGTGGGAAATTCTCTGCTGCTCAGTCACACATGGGGATAGAAGAGTGGTCCTTTTCCAACAGCACCTTGTCAGGCAAGATATATGTATATACAAATATACACACATATATAATCAACACAGGTCACATACTTTTAATGTTGGTAACATGTGACTTATTTCCCCAAAATACCAATCCCTTCATTTTTATTTTTGCAGGGGAACTGTATCATTTCGTGTATGAAACCAATTACTTCTCTACATATTGTTATGCTGTTTCTTCTTACCGATGAGTTTACAGCTTACTTCCCCCAGTCTGACAGATCAGAACTCATATGGCCATATAAATCTTATATTTAGAAAATGGGGGGATGTTCCGAGACCATCTTCTCAAAAGTGCCATTTAAATCTCCTCAAAAGCTCCATTTAGTGGTGTAACAATGAGGAAGCAAGACAGGGAAGTGCCCTAAAATCCAGAAAAAGGAAATTAAATATTGCCAGGAGAAACTGAGAATTCAGCCCTTAAAATATTGCTTATTATGGTCATTCTCTCTCTCTCTCTCTCTCTCTCTCTCTCTCTCTCTCTCTCTCTCTGTGTGTGTGTGTGTGTGTGTGTGTGTGTGTGTGTGTGTGTGTGTGTGTCTAAGGAGAGAGAGAAACAAGAAGAGCGAGGTGGTAATGAAAAGGAGAATATCACATGTATTTTTACTCATTTACCCCACGTATAAAATAGCTAAATATGATTCTGGTACTCATGCTTTCCATAAAAAGGCCCAGTTCCCATGTTATCAGGTAATATGAGTCTGACATAAAACAGGTTAATGAGGGTAAAAAGCTTAGGCCAGTCGTGTTGTGATTTTTTTTTTCTATGTTGTGATTTTCACCATATAAACACATGACTGGAGTTAGACAATAGTGTTGACTTAGAACCCATTGTGTACCTGCAGCGATTAATTAAAAGACTATTCCAACTGCCCTCAAGAACTTACACTCAAATAAACAAGGCAGGCTAAAAATAATGACAGTAAAAAAATCACTGCAAGCCCAAGTACTAGGAACATAAAATTATGTACATGACCAGCTACCGCTGAACACAAAGCTAGATACACTGTGGACTAATCGGGGAGGGTGTAAACATGTATTTAGCAACACACATACATATATGTACTCTCTGGGTGCCCACATGAGAGAATTCAAGAGAATTCCAGAAGGGGAGAAGAAACAACATTTGAAAAAAAAGGATTCGCAGTCTAGTGGTAGATGCCATGAAGAGCCCAGTGGACGGAAAGCTTCACGAGGGCAGGACCCCACCAGTCTTATCCGTTGCTACATCTCTGCTCCTCAGGCAGCCCCATGCGTGTAGTCAGCACTTAGTGCTTGTAAATGAATGAACAGGGAGGGAAGGAATGGAGAGCCCAAGTATGAAGGTGCTAAATGATTTAAGAAAAAAAAAGACAACGATAATTATTTCCTCAAAGGGGAGAGCCTCACAAGCTCACAGAAACAAGACCTGTTGGTACAAAGAACTTAAGACTCCCAACCACTAATTGCTAATGCTGATCATGTTTCTTCCCTCAGATGAAGAACACGATCTAGAAGAGGATGAGGGTGACATGGCACAGAGCGGAGGTAAGAGAGCTTCATGAGTGTGCAGGCTGTGGCTAGGACCTCGGTCTCCTCTCTCCAGACAGCAAACATTACTGCACTCACTAATTAAGAGGGTGCTAGTGTGTCAACCTCAAAAGCCCCAAGTGAGGGCCTCCCTGGTGGCGCAAGGGATTAAGCACAGCACTATGAAGCAATCCACAGCCTCTGCAGCATGAGTTCGATCCCCGGCTGGCCAGGGAGCAACCCACATGGCACAGCAGACCTCTCCTGTCTCGCCCACTGCTCCCCTCAGCAGTGTATTTCAGTAGATCTGCCTGTTCTGTTCCCCACTCTGTCTCTGGTGAGTCCTCTCACCCCCCGCATCTCTGGCCTGTACCCCAGTTCCTGTATGCATAAATAAATAAATCTTTAAAAAAAAAAAAAAGCCCAAGTGAGATGACTGGATAAGGAAATATCTTAACTTTAAAAGCAGCCACCCATTCACTTTAATTAATGGTCCCAGGACAGCTAAGATTTATCCTAGAGAGGGTGGGAAGCCAAACGAGGTATTTATTTTTTCCTATCGGTATTTCTTAAATCAGTACAGTGAAAATAGAATTGCCTCATCTCTAAGAGATCAGAGGATTGAGAATGGAAATGTCTTCTCTCTGAGAGGCGCAGAGATTGCAAGTTCAGAGGGGAATGGAAATGTGTCAGATCTGAAAAGTGAACATGGGGTGAAGGATAGAATTGCTTGGTGATGCTGACTTCTGATGGCCTGGTTTGATTCCAGGCACATTTGGAAATGAATATGTAACAGGTTTGTTGAATACAAAATTACATCTTATTCATCCCAGACTGTTAACCATGCTTCAGGCTGTTAGTGAGCCCATCTTTTCTAAGGTCAGATGCCCCCCCAACGCCTCCTTAAGTGGACCAAAGACCTATTCTATCCTTGTCAGTTAAGGACCACACATCACAAGGGCAACCTCAAGGACAATGGTTCCCTCGGAAGGGCCTGAATTGTGACTGATTTAGATTATTGGCTAATTTTTTTTCTTAGAGAGTCTAGGAAAGTCTTAGTCCTAGGAGTTCTTTTTCTCTGCATCCTCTCCATTTCTCTAGTCCTCCTTTTCCCTTTTTTGCTCTTCCTTTCCTGTGCCCTTTCTCTTCATCCATTCAGCCAAGTTCCCTTTCCTTGGCCCATCCTCAAAAGGAAATGAAGTTGTAAAGGGACTAGTGAAGGACCCAACTTCTCCCAAGGGAGCGAAAGGACAGTGACCAGTGACGTCACATGCCAAAGCAACTAAAAGAAAGAGCTGAGGCAGGTAAGGTCCTGGGGTTCAGTGCAACTTTAAGTAAGCGCCTCGTGACAGTTAACACATGCAGTTAAGTCCATTCTGAAACCTGTTTGCTGCTGTTTTCTACTCACTGTATAGAACACCAACAGAAAAATCTGTTTCCTGACCAACACATGGCCCACATATGTCTTTTCTCTACCAACTTCCCTCAGCAGGCAGGGAAGAAACATTTCATGTGGCTGTTTTGATAAGACTGGCTGGAAGCTTCCTGTGGTCCACTTTATAGTCAGCTGCGTTCAGAGAGCAGCATCTTCTGGCAAAAATCTGACATTCAATTTTAGTCTCATCTCATTTCCTCCTTCCACCTCTTTTCTTAAGGTTCTGTCTGAGGATGAGGGGAAATTTACTTATTAACTGTTCCCACAAGTATAAGTCAAGTAGGTTGGCTGTCATTTCTTTTTTAAACCTTTTGTTCCTCATGCTTCCTACCTCCAAAATAGGTATTAAAGTAAAGCAAGACCTAAGTACATTTCTATGGATTATACTTCCCACCAGTTACAGTGATTGGTGACATGGTGATTAAAAAGCAGAGAAGGTTTTTTCCTGCTCTCCTCAGAATCTGAGGCAGGAATTTTTATTATTTCTGTTTACTTATTTATTTATTGAATTTATATAGTGCTTTTCCTCCAAAGTCACTACAGAAATGGCAGCAAATGTGTAACATCCAAATGTCATTACTTAGCTTTATAACAATAAAATGTACAGTTCCAAGAGAAGGGCAGACGACCCCTATGAAGGACTAAAACAAGCAAGGAACTTTAAGACAATGTGAATTCTTATATAGACAAGCTACAAAAATTGGGTTCATTTCATTTTTCTCAGGTGTCACATGCCTTTTTTTGGGGGAGGGGAACCTTTTCTCCTAAAAGATACTGTGTTAGCAGGGTTACTTTTAAAATCCACATGCTTTTCTCTCAGTTTTTCATAGATCCTATTCCCCAGTGCTGTGCTTGTTCCCTGATGGAATTGCTCATGTTTGTAAAGCCCAACTAGATCTTATCAGAAGGGGGTAGAGGAGGGAAGAATTCTGTTTATCCTTATTGAGTGTTAATGACCCTGTAAGATGTAATTTCTTTTATTTTATTCTGTTACCTAGAAAATCTATCACAGCCTTGTAGTATTGATTGTTCAATCTATAAAGAGCTTGGTTTACAGCATGACTGTTCGTAACAGGGTTATTTTAATGAGTGACTCTTCAACACCTCAGATTTCCACTAAATTCCAACCCATCAGGCTAACAGTCTCACACTGAGTGTCTTCATTGAGCTTATCTCCCTTGCCTGCCACGAGAAGGGAAGAGTCAAGTAACCAAAAGTAAAACTCATCCTGTGCTGTCTAAAACTGCTGACCATTTGCTCCTGTATGCCATGTCAAAAAAAGCATAGTTAGAGGCACAAATCATCCTTAAATACATCAAATCTCTGCTCAAGGAAGTCTTGAAACAGGTTGTTTTTGCTCAGAAACTCTGAGCAAACTCAGCCAAGGAGTAAAACAGGTTCAGTAATTTCTGCAGGGCAGAAAAATGGTTGATTGTGAGCCTTCCATCTCTGAGGCACTCTTTCCAAAACTTTAGTGCCTGCCAATGGTGTGAAGGATTACACAAAAGAATCAGGAATCCGCAGAGGTATTTCCAGCTCTTTTTTTTTTTTGGAACCCTATTTCTCAAGACCAAACATGAGTTGATCATCAGTCAGCAATAATTTTGGCCCAATAAAAGGAGCACATTAGATGAAAATCCAGACCTGTGAGTTTTCCCACACTTCAAGATCATACTTACAGCATTAAGAACCATAGTCATTTCAGAACTCAAGATTGAGGGGCTATGAAAACAAGCCCACGGTATTGTTCAGCTGCTCTTCCTATTCTAGTGTTACAATTAATGGAGCGTGGCAATTTTTTTTATGCCTTTCCTTCTGAATTAGTTAATAAGGTATCAGGCTAGATCTATTTAAATGGTCAAGTCCCTTCACTTGAGCAATGGCTTTGACCTTCTTTCTCCATTTCTCACTGACCCACACTCTACACGGACTGGCTTTACCTGTCTTCTCATTTTGTCTCTCTCTCCCATAAGTTGTTGTTGTATCCAGTGCCAGACCTCTCTGCACAGTCCTTTGATCAAGAAATGTAAACACGTTGACCAGAATTTAGCCTCTTTTCCTTGGTCACAGCTGAATTCTGCAGCTACCCAGTGTCTTCCACACAAAAGCCCAAGGACATATGAACTCTGGGAGGAATACAGTCAGCTTCTGTTGTCTCTAAAAAGGGAGAGAGACAGAAAGATGTCCTGGTTCTTTTACCTTAGAACCACCACATCACAGACTCGTTTTCAAGTATTGGCTCTGTCAACAGTAGCGGTACTTGGCAACCCAGGAAAAATGGCTGCCAGTGGTTATAAAGAACTTGGTGTGAAATGATAAATGCTTTGCAATAAATACCTAGAAAAGAGAGTAAAACAATATTTTTTAACTTGTTTTGTCGCGAGTCTTCCTATGACATTTTGTTTGCTTAGAGCTTAACTTCTCTTACGTGGGAGAAAGAAAATAAGATACTGTCCTTTTTTTTTTTCTCTCTCTCTAGAAAAAGTCCTTCTCAGCTCTGCTAGCAATTTAAATGCAGTGATCATACCCATTAGCTTCTCTATCATTGTAATTGTTGTTAATTGTTATAACTGTTTTAGTTATTAGTGGTGTCATTATTGCTCTAGGTCCTCTGTCTGTTTTATGCTGAATATATTAGTGCTTTGCTTTTGAATTACCAGGCTTTATTTAGTGCAGAGTTACTTTTTTTTTTTTTTTTCCAGAGAGACATTGAGAAATGCTGGCATTAAGCTTTATTCTTTTGTTTTTCATTCCAAATGGACAGACTGGAAAAAAAATAATTAGATGGAATAATGTCCTCAAAATGAGAATGAGGATGTTTTGAATTAATTAAATGGTCAGAATGCTGTGCCGTCTCTGATCTCAGACCGTTGCCAGGCGAGTCTAGAGCTACTACATCCAGCCCACAGACGCCACCCTCTCTCTCTCAGACTCCCAGCGCCTCTCCCTGATCTGAAAAAATCAAAGTCTGCTTGTATGTTCACATGTTTATAAGATGAACAGGGCGATTCTAGGGAGAAGGCAGACTGCTCCTGCAGACTTTCCGGACCTTCAAGCTCTTCCTGGGGCCAACTTCCAGCAGCAGTGAAACCCTGCTCAGCCCCGCCTCTTCCCTTCATCAAGGTCTTTAAGTAACACCCACTGTTGATCAGGTTTTTTGACACAACTAAATCTTCAAGAAAGCCTTCCCTGGGCAGGTTAGGTTCCTGATTATGCACAGCACCCTCAGCTTGTCCATTGCAGACATCTTGCAGTCACTAATTAATAAATATTTGTGTAACTCTATTTCACGGTGCTTCCCCACTGGCTGGTAGCCTTCAGAGCAGGGACTGTGTGTGGAATTCCCAGTGTCTAGCAGTCCCTGGAACTCAGCAGCTACTGTGCATGTGTTTGAAGTTGTGTTGCACTCCTACACATAAATGCAAACCATGCGTGTGTTAAACCAGGAGTCTGCAGCACTGAGTCCAGCCTTGTCCAGCTAAGGCGTGCCTCTCATTGATCAACCTCAAACCAAAATATCTCTGTTCACACAGCAAATCTAACCTTTCCCCACTTTTAGTCTGTCATTTTGCTTGTTTTTCAGAGATGTCTTATTATGTTTCTAGTTCTGATGCTTCCAGTTCTTGGGTTAGGCTAAACTATTTCCTGAATTCCTAACCTCTGTATTCTTTTTTCACTTATAAAGAACCAAAGGCATTTTCTATCTTTATTTTTCTTGGAAGGCTTTTGTTTTCCTCCTAGCTTCTTACTTTTCATGTTATCTGCTGAGCTTTTAGAATGGGTCTTTCCCCACAGGTGTCTTATATCTTCAATATCAAATCACTTTGTACATATATACCAAAAGTGACTTTACACATAAGCTTAGGAGCTAGCCCCCATTTATGAATGTGGGAAGCAGCACTGCACAATGACCATCTGCTAGGCCAGAAAAAGCCAAAATAAACTTCATCCTTCTCCTTACCATTCAGAAATATCAAGTTATGTTTAAAGAATATTTTTTTACAAAATGACTTTCTCTACCATAAAAAATATTGATATCAATATGTTTTTCATTCCTAATTTTGTCAGAATCTTGGAGTAATTAATCAAATCTATTATGACTAAAAATACATTAATATGGGAAAACTATTTTCACTTTTCATGGACTGATATTTCTGTATTATTCCATCCATTGTCTATTTCATGCATTGTCTTTTCAATAGTTAGCAATATTAACATTTTTCTACCAATATATTTTTCTTCTCAACATGTCTTAACTCGGTGGCAGATGGTTTCCAGTGTGGTTGTCTTATTTGCTGCCCTCTGTTGTCTACTGCACATACAAGCAATTTTCTATATAAACAAATAATGCCCCAGTTTCTATCGGGTTAACACTTCTGTTTGTGATATCTGAGTCTTAACTAAATAACTCTGTTCTGCCTGTTTTTTGTATACTCCTGCTAAAGTTCTTTTCCAGACATATGTAGGGATTTTGTTCTATTGTGTGTGCCTTTATTTGAATTGCTCATAAGTTAGAAATAAGTAGGGGAAAAGCAAATATAGCTGGGGCCTCTGTCCACCCTCTGCCATCTGCTCCCACCCTCAGCAGTTAGCACCATCACACCTAATGGGAGGGATGAGACAAAATAAAAGGTAGAAACTGCTAGACTAGGATCCCAAAATACTCTTTTAATTAGAGCCCAGGACTCCTGACTCCTATCAATAGGAATTTCTTCTTTGATAAGTGCTTTGCTTATAACTGTCGGGCATAGGGTTCAAAGGAGTGGGGAGCACTGCCACATTCTCCCTGGTGTGGTGGGCATTAGCTCCTGCCATTCAGATCCCCAGACCCTCTCCCACTTTGTACTCTAGTGTTTAACCTTTCCGGGTAGAAGAAGATCAATACAAATTCTTCATTGTTAAGAATCGATGGCTGTCCTGTGGCATCACTGCCATCTAGTCTTGCTGAAAAGCCCAGTAAATCTCTCCAGCTGCTTCAAAAGCTTGGTTTGTCGTCTTCAGTTGCTTTCATTTTTAATGCAGATCACTTTGGTTTCTGTTCCCCTGGGGGCAAGCAGATAAATCTTGGCAGACATGTTCAGGGTCTACAAATGAGATGCTGGAAAAGGGCCAGCCCACCCAGAATTTAGTTGTAATGGATGAGACACCCCCTTGGTTCCACTGGGCTATTTGTTTTCATATTTATTGGTGATTACTCCATATAGTACCTGGGTGGGAAGTGCCCACGATGAGGTTCTTGTATCACAGAGGAGGCCAAAGGGTGACACTGTGATGCAGACACATGCTCTCTTATAAATAGGCGCACGTCAGAGAATCTCACTCCTTCAAATGTACAAGAAGAGAAGCACTGGATAGTGTAGACTCCGTGGATTGAGAAAGTCTGGCAGATAATCTTGTGCTGCTTACTTACAAACCAAGTGAAAAATTACCTGTCTGATTTTCTTTTATTAATAAATGAATGTATTTATCATATTCTTGAATAGCATCTGACTAAGGGTGATCTGTAAATATTTAATGTTAGTTAATGATCTCCTCCCACAGTCCCTTTGCTCACACTGAGTGTTTGTATCTCATCTGACTTCCCTGAATCTTAGGTTTCCTAGGGGCAAAATCAGAACCCTGGTTTCCATTGCAGCAAAAATGTGGGCTCCATGGAAAAAGACAGAGTCCTTTTAACTTTAGCTTCTCCTCTCTTTGATCAGTGGACTATGCCAATTATTACCAGGGCCTATGGGATTGCCATGGCGACCAGCCAGACGAACTGTCCTTCCAGCGTGGTGACCTCATCCGCATTCTGAGCAAGGTAAGAACAGAGAGTATGGGGCTTGGATCAAAAGTTGATTTTTTTCACTTTTGATGATGTCGTCACTGTTACCAGAATTATTCCTTATCATTTACTTCTCTTGTGTGTGTTACATGGCTCCCTCCCACAGAGAATAAATTCCCATTGATTTATAATTATTAGGGATATTTTTAATTAAAAATTCAGATTCAAGAACCAATTTTCAAATTTAAAAAAATACAATAAAGTAGACATAAAACTATGCCAATCAAAACTTGATCTTTTAAGGGCCTTGTGGAGCGTAAAAGGTCATCACTATGTACATAATTTATTATATAATACTTGAAAACATCCTGGCTAGGTCAGTCGCCTTCTTATTTCATTTATAGATACCAAGACTGTAATATCATTATGTATGGAGGAGGAGACAGAGCTAGCTAGTGCAATTGGTTTGAGCAAGTGCTGATAAGGCCAAGATAATGAATCCAATCCCACACCAGCCAGCTAACTTTATTCTCTTTCTCAGCCACAAAGTTAACCCCTAGCCCCAGCTAACTATCTCATAAAGAGTATTGTTGATCCAAAAGGAATTGAATAAAGAAGAAAAAACAAAAAGCTAACTTAATGCAATGTGAATAAGATTCAGAACTCATGGACTACTGTTTGAGGGATCAGTAGCATCATCTTTGTAAAGAAAGACTATATAGTCTGTATAGAGGGGCTGAGGAAATAGGTTCTCTCCCTGGAAGAAAGCTTATTATAAAGTTCTCTCTATGAGGTCGATTAATGTCTACAAACACGTTTTTAAAATAGGCATAATTTGCTCTTTAATTGCTGAGTTTGCGGATTCCATAAAGGAAAATTGAAAACCCACTGTGTTATTAACCCATCATTTGCTGCTTATCTTTATTCTGCAAATGTTAATATCTTGGCCAACGGTTTGCCTTGGTTTGAAATACACCATAAACTCCCTAGGAAACAGACCAGCACTGAGCCAAGTTATCTTTTGGTGATTTCAACAGGTCCCCTTTGAAGGAGGACCAAAATTAGACCCAACCCTTTGAGAGAATAAGAGGCCTGCAGGCCCTGTTCAGTAAGATCACAGCATTCTAATGATTTCTTCCAGAATCCCAGCTCAACACCACTCTCATGTCATTCCAGTGTGGCTCCAATACACCAAGAATAAATTGGAAGCAAAGTAGGGAGTGGACATTGGCCTGATTGGTATTTCAAATGCCCGAAAGCAAGGTTTGCCTTGTAATAGAATTTGTGTACATTACCACGCTGGCATTACAGGGGTAATCGAGTTATCCACTCAGGTGTGACCAGGCCTCTGTTTGCCCAGAGCCTGCAGGTGAACAAATTAACTGTTTACATTGTCTGAGGTGCCTGCAGCAGGAAAGGGGGGAGAACAGAGCCAGACTGTCTGCTGGCCGCCTCTCTCGGTCATGATTATTTTGTTTGTTTTGCATGTCTTTTGCCTTTGTTAATGGCTTCTCACTGGGGGTCCCTTTCCTCCATTTAGAAGGGGCTGTGCGGTGACTTGCTTGCAGTACAGAGCAGTCTGCAGTTACCACCCTGTTGTATTTTTAAAAGATACAAAAGAACATGGGGAGCTATCTCTTTCTCTTTGTCCAACCCCTCTTCTCCTCCATTACTAAAAGCTCACATTTCAGGGTTTAATTCGGTGAGAATACCTGGCTTCCGTGTTTCTGTGTACTTCTTTCTCCATCTTCTGGAATGTCCTAAGTTCATTTTCATCCCTTACCATAGTTGTAGCACATTTCTTCCCCAAAAAGATACCCCAGCTACCTCCCTTCCCCAGGTTGTTAATGGCTGGCTGCCTATCAGAGAGGAACTGAGAAGCTAGAAGCTCAAGTGAAGTTTCCCTCATAAAGTTTCATTCCAGTTAACACTGGCTTGGGGAGCATTCTGAATTGGATCTACCTTTATTATATTACCTAACTCAATAAGAGCCCTTAGACTGGAAGGGACCTTAAAAGGCCACCCAATACATTCCCATTGCCTCCAACAAGCACAAATGAACCAATTCAGACAGATAGAAAAGGAGGTTCTGCTGCCATTCTCAGCCGCCTGTCCATTCAGATGTTCAGTTAACTCCTGCTCTGGAATTTTCTTTTGTGTGGCTCCTAAATTCATTCCACTTTAACCCCAGCTGTCTTCCATTTTTGAAGTCATCTACACTCTGCAGCCTATCCCCTCACACCTAGTGAAGCAGAACTGGCCCAAATTGAGGTTAATCCAGGAAAGTGCAATCTAGAAATCTGCATCTAGAAAAGCCTGATGTTTAGGGGCCTGGTAAAGCCTATTTCCCTGAGAAATGCAAGATGAAACACAACTGTGAGCAGCTCAGCTTTCCTGGGCCAGTTCCCTTACCTGTAAAATGAAAAGAGTATGATGGATGGTCTCTTGGGTTCCTGCCACCTCAGCACCCCACTCTAAGCATGGTGAGGCTGACACTGCTAAAGAAATTCCACCCAAAATGTGTTTTAGCCTTAATTATTTATTCAGATTACAAACTCCCAAAACTCCAATTATGAGCCTTTTGTCTTGGTCCCTATAATTGCATCTGGTTGCCTCCTCTCTCTTTGTCTGATAAAGAAATATTCTGAGGGTGCGGCAGAGGTGGACAGGTGGAGAACAGGAAGTACCCCCTTGATGGGGATATAGGATGGGGGTGGGGTAGACAACAGCTTTATTCTTGGGCTCCTGCTGCTCCCTGCTGTTTCTTAATAGTTGTTCAACCCAACCTTGGATCCTAGCATGCGAGGGCCTGGAGAGCCTGTAGGTCCTAAGGCTTTTGAGCAGGAATGATCCCGGAAAGAGTGCTTTTTACCCCTTTGTAAAAATATTTCCAGGAAGGTGACTGGCAGTGCAGGAAAGATGTACCCCACAAATATCCACCACCTTTCCTGACCTAACCAAAGCAAGTCAGTAACAGATGGATTATTTATGTAACCCTGAGCACAGTCACTTAATCTTGTGAATGCTCAGATTCTTCATCTCTAAAAATTGGGATAACTTCTACTTTTGGGATGTTGTGATGCTCACATTAGAGAATTTGTATGACATGCCTGGCACATGGGGAATGGTAACTCTGATTCTTGTGCCCTCTTTTCCACTAACAAAGTAAACCTTTAAGGTCGGTGTTGGACATATACCAGGTGTTGGCTAAACGATTGGTGAATTGAGAGAATGTAAGGTGGCCTGTCCTGCCAAGACCTCTGTACACATGCTCAAAAGCTTCTCACTTAGAAATAGAAAACTGCCAGTGAGGAAGCCTGCATGGAAATCCACTGTGCCCATCCCAGCCTGCAAGATTATGTCACTGACAAACCTGATCAATTGTCCAAAGTTCTGGTGAGAGGAGAAGCCAGAGCATGTACCCAGGCTCTGAAAAAGCAACCAGAGGCACAGTGAGCAGGACCAGCACCCCCCCCCCACCCGCCCCTGCTGACCTCCCCCCCATTACCCCAGCCCCCTGCAACTTCATGCCCATTTAATTCACTGAGTTCCAATTTAGGTTTTAAAATATATTAAAGGGAGATTTTAATAACGAAGCAGGTCTGTGTATCCAGCGGATGTTCCTGCATTCCCTTCGTGCCCAGATATTTCCAAACAGCTTTTTCTGGTGCAGGGACCGAGCTTGGCTTCCGCCTGGCGCAGGGACGCAGCACAGGCCACAGCGGGGTGTTTAGCGCTCTTCAGTGGCTCCAGATTGTGGCGCTTGTGCAGGTCTCCTCATACGTAACCGATGGCTCCTGAGAGCCTGCGTCTCGTAAATTACTTCCCACGATGCCTGTGACCACCACAGAATTCAACTTTGAATAGAGCAGGAAAAAGGTGTTTGAAAGGCCTGTTCACTCAGCTGCATTTTAATTTCCTTTTCAATCTTGTCCCAATTAATTTCACAGAATTAATCTCACAGAAGCAAACTCGGCAGCATTGAGGCTGCGGTTTTAGTGTGGCGGTCGCTCTGCCTGAACATGAAATAGGAGCTAATATAAAAATCCATCTGCTGTGTTTGAAATACACACCGGCTGCTGCTCAGTCCTGTCTGACATTCCAGACATCAACAGCGGGGAAAAGTGATTTGGGGGATAGTGGCCATCAGTATTTGGCAAGGGTTCAACAACAGGTGTAGTCCAAAAATCCATTCAGCCTGAGCAGCAGGCATGACAGGGCAGGTGCTGATTCACCCTCCGTATAGCATTGCTGCACCCTGGTGTGGCTCCTGTATCTGAGGCTCATAAGTCCCTTTGTGGACCAGCGCTGCTCTAGGCATTCGTTCTAAGTGGGTAAGAACCCTCTATTTGGATAAGACAAGTCACAAGTCGCAGCTTTCAGAGAACTGACTGTCTTCCTGACTCACTGGGGAAGCTTCTCTCGAAAAAATGAGTGTTTGTTCTAGTATGTGAGATAACCTAAATGCCCACTTAAAATGAAGTCCCCTGTTCCAGAAGTAACTTACAGTGGTAACAAGAGCTGTCCCACAGACAAGGGCAAATTAAAGAGAAAAAGACAGAGAAACTCTTTCTCAATTGACTTGAAAGGAGAAGAGGTCCCTGAAAGAGGGCTTCCGCTTAGAGTAAACCGAGTCTGAACTGTCTTCTGGGCTTGTGTTGTAGGCCTCATGAGCTGCTCTGGGCTTCTCTTAAGTTTTGCCCAGCTATTTATTTCCATGAAATCACCCATGGAGCAACAAGTTGGATACCACATTAGTTTTATACTTATGAGGTATTTTAGCTGGGGTGAGAAGATATTCTTGTAACCCAAACAGACTAGGCTTTGGCTGTCTTCTCTGCTGGTGCAGTTGATATAGAAACAGGGAGCCTTACAAGCAAGGTCAAGTTTAATATCAAGTACATGATGTTAAACTGTCAGATGGCCATGGGCCTTATGTGGATGAGGATGGGCCAGCTCTGTTACCCTGGGTGACGTTTTGCTTCTGACATTGAGTTGGAGCTTAAGCTCAGGCTGGACCCTGGTTCCAAACCCAG